TACAAAACTTAAACTTACTTCACAACTATTGTTTATTCGAGCTTGTTAATACGGTTAAAATATAGTCGACGCGGTTGTTAAAAAATAATTTTGATATACGACGTAAAGTTACGATACGGGCCCTTTGCAAACCTCTATCGTATAATACGAATATATGAATGATAAAAGCGACAGAATACATAAATTAAACTCGCGATACGAAACAAAAAACGCGTGCAAACTGGCGAAACATAAAAACTAATGAAATACAAAGGATATAATTTTAAAAAATCCGCTCGCGAGTAATTGCCAACAGCGCGGTCAAAATTCAGCAGTAAGTTACAGCGTTGGACGTTCGTTCGCGAAGAAATAACGTAACCGGGTGTAAATTAGAGTTACGCTTTCCCAGCATCGTTTTTTAACGCATTTGAATGTTTTACCATAGATGGCATAAATAAAATCGTTTATATTCGAGCGCTCTTTCGTGCAGGACAGCCGGAAAACGAAACGTCTGTTCGAAGTCTGGCCCAGAGATGGCGACACCGAGATACTTTTATCGCCATTCGTTCGCGGGGGTGCAAAACCCCTTTTTCGATACGCGCCATTACTGACTCCCGGTCGTATCATCGTAATAAACGGCCAGAGAGCTTCGATGATTACGCATCGACAACGCATCGCGTTCGCGTAGAAATTTTTAATCGATTATCATTACCGCGATTCTCCCCCAGGGGTTGATTCGACGAAACGCAAATTCATAAGCATCTTTATACCGCTGTAACAAACAAACTTGGCTATAAACGCGCGATAACGTATCGTTTAAATGCTATTTCGTTTATGAAAGCCTCGTTTCAACGGCTCCGAGAATGAAGGAGGAATTTTCAATAAAATACTACAGAACGAAAACACGCGCGAAACGAAACGACGTCGACGTCGATATTAAAACGAAATGCTAATTAATTTTTCTAAAACGCGATATCAGCCAAGCGTGAAACTACGGCTACAATTATTGCACGAAATGAGGCCAGAACGAAATTAACCGGTTGGTAAACATCACCCTGGAGACAAAAGCCTGGTGACATACCGCGGGGATGAATTCATACGTCGAATCTCCGACAATTCTGCATTATAAATCTTTGCGAGAAATATTTCGATACGTTATTAATACGATCGAAAATGAGCGTCGAATATTATTCGCGCGCAAGTGCATAGCGACAGAACACCGAATACATACAGGGATCTTAAACCTCCACTTAAACTAAGATAGAATTCCAAAGCACCCGAAAGATGAAAGAACGATCGAGTTCGTGTTTGGATGATTTATGTGTCAGGCGATCATCATAATCATCCGCAAAAAAATCCGTGATCCTGACAGGGGGTACGGCAAACATCCCGCAAAACCTTAACCACCCGAATGGTACTGTTTTAATGTAATTCCAGGACCGGTTTGTCGCTCGGCCCATGCACGCATGTAACAG